TGATTCTGTGGCACACACAAAGTTCTTTGGGGGGGGAGGAATGACAGTTTTGTTTTGTTTTTAACTTGATGTAAAAAATATATATATATATACTAAAGGCAAATTTCCAGAATTATTCTTGTTCAGTTTTATTTTGTTAATTTTTATGAAGGGATTAACTGTTTTTCCCTTAACTCCTCTCTCCATGTGTGTGCGTGTGTGAGAGAGAGAGAGCGCGCGCGAGTGAGTACGCACATAAGCACCAGAAACTTCATCCAAACTCTGAAATACTTTGAGTACAGGTGGGCTATGAAGGTGTTTTATGGAAAGGAGGGTGATAATTCATAGCCTACTTTGAGGCACACTTAAATCTTGCTTAGGGAGAGGTAGGCCATGGGCGGAATTAACTCAGTTATTTAGGTAGTAAAGTTGTGAATTCTTCCATTTTTATACCAGAATGTTAGCTTTCATACCAGAGCTTTTTTATATGTGGTAACTAACTGTCACTTTAGCTCCATTAAACATATTTTATTTTCACCCTTGTTTGTGCAAATTATGTGCCTGAGATTTATTTACTTTTTTCTTCTAGTCTGTGAAGAAGCGTTAAATAAATGTGATATAAATGCATTTTTCTCTTCTTTTTCCATATTCACAATTTAGAACCTGAAAGAAAGAAACAATTTCCAGCCTAGCTTTGATACACATTTCTCCTGATATAATAGGGTACTGATTGTCTGTCCTGTGGGACTAACTTTCCTCCCCAAGTCTTGTCCTTTTTATATTTGATCCTAGAATCCTTTGTTTTTTTGACTTCATTCATGGCCCACATTTTCTTGCGTATCCTTTACTCTTGCCTCCTCCCCAGATCCAGAGGCTTTTGCTCTATTCATTTGACAACTTTCTTCAAGTTTTTTAAAAAAAAAAAAGAAAACAGCAAAACCAAAAACCTCTTAGGGCTCCAGTGGGACTTAGAGAGGTCTTGCTGCTGCCTTCTCTTTCTCCCACCTACTTCAACGCCAGTACCCCACCAGTCCCAGCCCTCTGCTTGTCTTTCTCCACATCCTCTCCCTCATGACCCACAGATGTTTATTAATTAATTTGTCATGATACAATCCAAAGTTCTACCTCCTTTGAGGCCAGGTTCACAGTGTGCTAGACATTTGACCTGGGGGAAATCACATCTCCTCTGGGCTTCCGTTTCTTCATTCATTCATTCATCCATTCAACAAAGACACTGGCAGGTGCTGCATCCCGTACTGGAAGAGAAAACTGTGACATGCAAAATAGACATTGGTGCTACCCACTGCTGTAACACAGAGCAAGGAATGTCTGTCTTGCTAGGGATTTTATAAAAATGAGCAGAGGTGGTGGATGTTAAGTGCGTTGACCAGCATGAACCTTGGTGCCCAGCAAGCTTCCTTTTATTGTAATCAAAGGCAGACAGGCAGGGACAGTCCTGACCTCCCTTTGGAAGATAAATGTTTTTATCTCAGTCAGGAGCTTTCAGTTGTATTTTTGGCTCATACCTGAAACCCATTATTCTATTTTGTACAGATCTTTTTCCTTCTAAGCCAGCCTCATCTCCCAGTTTTCCTTTTTACGTCAAAAGCGTAATCATTTTTATTGTCATCTACGTTTGAAAGCTGGGGGTGGGGGAGGTGGGCCGCCTCAAGTTTCTGTAGAGCAGGGTATGCTTTCTTACTCTCCTTTCCTTCATGCCCTCTGTCTACTACATAGTACTGTGGATTCTTGCTTTGCAGATTTCTTTAATTCTTTTTGTTGAATAGCTGGTCATCCCTATTCTAGTCTAAACCTCATTACCTCAAGGGTAAATCTGACTTCTTACACTTCTAAGATGCTCTAAATGTGTCAGTCATGGCAGAAGGAAACAATGACCTCCTTCAGCTGGTGGTTTGAATTTACCTAGCTTTGTGAGTATTTGAAACACGGCGTCCTTCAAAGTCTAGAATAACTGGAGATTGAAAAAGCTTTGTCTTTAACAACTGCACTGGTTCATTTATTGTGATTCTGCTTATGTTTTTTACTTACAGTTAATTTCTGAGATACATAATGTTTACAGTTTACTTTTAGAAGGGGCTTCCAGAAAAGGTACACTTTTGACTTACTGGATAAGCCATTCACTATACCTTAACATGTACACATGATTTTAAATGAGTTTGTGACATTTGGCTTTTTGAGTGTGGGCTGCTGCTTTTTTTTTTTTTTTTTTTTTTAAATTTTAAAGAACAGAAATTTACTGTTTCATGTGGGCTTTTTTTTAGTTAGAGCTTTTAAAAATATGATATTGCCACACACCCTTTTCCCACCAGCCCATTTGTTTTTCTTACCAAAATAAAGGTAAATATGTTCTATTAAACAGAGTACAATAGGGGAAAAAAATGGAGAACTAATCTGTTGAAGTTTAAGGTTTTGCAAACTAGACAGTTTTGTTATTGTTGTTCTAGGCTTTGTTCATTTATTTAGTTGACAGTTGTCTGTTGAGTTCTGAGCATGCCAGGAATGGTACTCGGTGCTGCAGACTGAATGGTGAGCATGCCCTACAGTTGTTGTTATTAGCTGCCGTTGAGTCGGCCCCTGACTCATGGTGACCCCATGCACAATGAATAAAATGCTGTATGGGCTTTCACCATCCCCATGATTGGTTGCAGATCAGACCTTTGTGATCCAAAGGGTTTTCATTGGCTATTTTTGGAAGTAGATCACAGGCCTTTCTTCCTAGTTTGTCTTAGTCTAGAAGCTCCACTGAAACCTGTTCAGCAGCATGCAAGCTGCCACTGACAGGTGGTGGCTGCGCATGAGGTGCATTGGCCAGGAACTGAACCCAGGTTTCCCACGTGGAAAGTGAGAATTCTGCCATTTAACTACCAAGGCCTCACTGGCTTACAGTAGGGGTCAGCAAACTACAGCCTGCCTGGTGGCCTGTTTTTGTGTGACCCACAGGCTAAGATGGTTTTTACATTTGTGAAGGGTTGTAAGAACGAAACAGAAGATATATGTCCTGTAAAGTTTAAAATATGTATTGTCTGATTCTTTACAGAAAGTTTGCCTACTCCTGACCTATTGTATCTCTGCGTTGCTGAAGCTTATATTTTAGTAGGAAAGATAAGTAATAAGCAAGGGAACAAATAAACAAGAGAATTAATTTTCAGATTTTGATAACTTATAGGAAGGAAGGAAGGAAATGTGAGATATGAGAGTAACTGACATGAGGCTGGGGCAAGTGGTAGGGGTTGGGATAGGATTATTTGAAGAGGTGACTTTGAGATTAGTAGACCGTAACAATGAGAACGAACAGCTTTGTGAAGATCTGGGCCTGCTAACCCCCTCTCACCCTCTGGTTCCTCCTCCCCCTTCACTTCCAAATACCTACTTCTCCACAAGGCTCAGCTAGGTGTTGGCTCCTATAGGAAGCCTTCTTGAATGCCCTCTTTTGGATTACTTTTACCATAGCATCTATCACATGACATTATAATTGCCTGTTTGCTTTCATTTTCCCTCATTAGACTTGAGTTATCTTGAGAGCAAGGACTTTTGTCTTAGTTGTCATGTATCTCTAGCATTTAGCTTTTAAATTAGGTTGACTAATTAAATAAATTTATAAACTCAATATTAGATTCCATTAATCAGGTTGTCAGAGTCAAGAAACTCCTCTAAGAAAAGAAATTCTTAAAGTTAAATTCTATCATTTATCTTTTTTTTGGTACACATTCTTACCACCCTATCCTCTCTGCTCCCAGCACTTTGTTTCCTTCGATTCTAAAATCGAATTATTGCTCCAACTCCAAAACAACTGTTTCCCCCATCATATTAGAAGATACCATCATCCTACAGTTGATTAGAACCAAAGCTAGGAGTTATCCTGATTCTTCTCCTTCCTTTACTCATCTGTCCATCAACACCTATACCTCCTGTTCTCACCATCTTTACTACCAACCCTAGCCCCCATCAGCTTTACCCATCACCTAGACCACAGCAGATCATACTGACGGGTGTTTCTGCTTCCACCCTTACCTTTGTTATATCCATTATTCACCCAGAGGCCAAACAGATCTTTTCAAACTAAGAATCAGATCATATCAGTCTCCCCGCTGGATCATTCCAGTTGACTGCCCATTGAACATAGAATAAAAATTGAATTCTGTGCTTTGGCCTAAAAGCCCTTTATGAACTGGCCACTGACTATCTCTTATGATCTGTTCTCTTCCTTACCCTCAGCCTCCAGCTGTACTGGTGTCCCGTCACCCATCCCCCGCTTAGAACCTTTTCTTCCCTGTTGCCCCAGGTCGGTTGTTGCCTGCTCCTTGTCATATCCTCTCATCTGCTGAGAACAACCTGCCTTGACTCACCAATCTGAAGTCATTCATTATTACCCAATTCTTTATCAAATCATTCTTTTCTTATTCTCTAAATAGCAGTAATTTATCTCTGATTTTCCTTGTTTATTTACTTGTCAGTTGGTTTATTGTCTGTCTTCTCTGCTAAAATAAAAGTTTGAAGAGATTAAAGTGCCTCAACACCTAGAAAGTGCCTGGCATAAAATAGGCATTAATCAATATTTATTAAATAAATGGATAACTGAATAGTGCTTTTAGAATCTATATTTTCGTTTTTTGTACTTGTTCCTCCTTACTAAATTGGAAGCTCCTTGAGAGCAAGCACTGTGTGTACTTCTGTCTTCCCTGAAGATCCTAGCACAGTATGTAGAATGCAATAAATGTTTCTCTAATTGAATTATTAAGTAGACTCCGTGTTAATTTAGTCAGTCTTGTGGATATGTAAAACTATGTAGTAGCAATTAGCACAGCTACCTATAATGAAACTTCTACCCCAAAGACATCCCCGTACCTGATTTTCATCATCATATTTATGATATCAGAAATTTATGGTAACAGCTACTGGCTTAATCATAGCCCTAGCTAAAGGCATTAGAGAAGGAACTTGACGACCTGTTGCCTTCTAATGGTATTAACTGTTTTTTTTTTTTCTCTTTTACCATGCAGAGTATGAGTTGGAAGTAAAGAGGGTGCAAGACATTCTTTCAGGAATAGAGAAACCACAGGTATGTCTTCTGGATTTCTCAGCACAAATGACACTTTCTTAAGCATTTCTAGTGTGTGCTTGGTTTTTTTCATCACACAGTAGGTAAGCGAAAAGGCCTGTTCCCATTGCAGATTATTCATAGACTATGAAATAGTATTCAGTTATTAATGATGCATGAAAACATGGAATAGCAGTCTTCTGCATAGTCATAATCCACTAAAATGTCTTCTTTATTTAAATATCCTGGCTGCAATTAGAGTTTTTTCAACTTCCAAGGATAGCATTTTTTCTTTCTCAGGTCTACAAAACAGTTTTCTTTTGGTAAATTTTCTTTTACTTGTGTAAATGTAGTGAAAATAATTTTTGCAAACCTCAGTGATTCCAAATATTTTTCCAGGTAAGTTAAAAAAAAGACAAAACAAAACAGCAACTTTAAAATATTAACTGAGAAAAATAAGTCCAAACTATTGGATGCAATGGCAAGAAAAAATTGCTAGGAATCATCATAGTGTGAGGTTTTAAGTTTGATTTTGCCAGGTGCTTTGAATTTCAAGTGAAAAATGCACAATGTTGATTCAACCTTTCAGCTGTGATTGGAGAGCCAGAGTTCTTTGGAGTGTTTTCTAGCTAAATTGGAAAGCCTTGATTCTTCATGTGTTTCAAATACTGAGGCTTTTTAACAGAAGAGTCCAGACATGCCTCAGGGCACGTAGTTGAGTTTGACTAAACCTACAAGTTTGAGGTATGTTACAGAAAGGGCATAATAGGGCGCTTGTGAAGGAGTAGGACCCTGATGTCGGGTTGGGGAGTCTGTACTTAATTCGGTAAGGAGCAAGTTGCCATCGAGTATTCTTGAGCAAGAAATTAATGCACCCAGAGCTGCATTTTTCAGGATGACCAATCAGTTAGCTGATGAATTGGAGAAGAAAATGGACCTAGGAGAAGCGTTAGGAATCTGTTGTTGTAATTCTGGTGACAGGCTATGAGAGCCAGAATCAGAGTGGTGGCTTCAGGTGTGGCAAGGAGGGAATAACTATTAGATTCATTCCAGAGATAAGTGAATAAGGCGCTATAACCTCTTAAATATCGGGTGCCATGGATAACTAGGTTTAAATGCCTCATCTCAGGAGTTGCTTCCTCCCAGACATCTCCGCTGACATTGTCATGCTCATCCAGTAAGATCCTCCACCCAGAACTTCCTTAGTACCACTGGCTGTACCCCTAGTCCTACTGTGTCCTGTATCTACCTCTGCTGTTGAAGGTATTGTACTGCATTTACCTGTTTCTGTAGCTTTCCCAGCAACCCGTGAGCTCCACTACACTAGATTCATGCCTATGTCCCTTTTGTATTTCAGTGACATTCTCGGACAGGTTGAGTTTGTTTTACTAGCAGGGCATTCAGATAGATAAATACAGTGGGCAGTGGCAAATGTCTAGTGGATCGATGCTGTGGAGAGAGGGAGAACAAGATACTGATTGGCAGATCACATGCATAGGAATGGTAGAATTGTAGGCTAGGATGATAGGTTTTGGAGGATGATGTGGGAGTATAGGGATAGACTAGAAAAGGCTTGAGGATAGAATCATGGGGAAAGCTAATGTTTATAATGCAGCAGGAGGAAGAAATAGCATGAGGAAAACAGGAGTCGTAATCAGAGAGAAGATAGAGCAACAAGTGAGTTCACTGTCCTGTATACAGTCACAAAACTTTATATTTGTGTCTTTCGCTCTGAACATGCACACAGTGTTTTCTTCAGTTATTTCTAGTAACTTCTCTACCGCAGAAGTGATAGCATCTCTGTTTCTGAGGATGATGTGGCTCTAGCAAGATAAAAGCCATACTTAGATGCATTGATCCTTTCCTTGATTCAGGATTGTTTTTAGAGCAGAGCAGACAGACGTCTGTGGAAATAGCGATGCTGTAAGGTATAATATGCTAACATTGTTGTCTGAGAGCTTTTGTCTGTGTCAGCTGGAAGCAAGGATTGCTTGGTCACAGAAGCACATGGATTTTAGCTCTGTCCATCTTAGCCCAGGCCAGACAGCTCTGTACCCATCATGGAGACATGGATTCTCAAAGTCCAATGCCTTTAGGCCTTGGAATCATGTAGCTGACTCCCCTTACTCTCGTTTGATGCCTACCCAGAAGCCTTTTGAGAATTAGGTTTTCCTGTATCCAGCGGAGAGAAAATGTGCAGAGCAGGTTGATAATACTGTCTATTCTCCCACATAGTTACAGTTCTCATTATGAGTGAATTAACTGGTGCTGTGATTTTTATGCATGTGATTCTTTAAGTCTTTTAGTTACTGTTAACCTTCCTGAGTCTGACTCTGGAGAACCAACTAACTAGATTGAGTGTCTGAATCTGCTGGGCAGGAGGCCACACCTGTTGAATTCACTCAGGTAAATGCCATGTTGTAGACACCTGTCTGGGGGGCCAGCCAGCTTACCTGGACACCATCCTTTCTCATTGTCCTCCCCCAGACTTATAAAATAGCTTTTGGAAATTCAGTCAAAAGATAACATTTCCATATCAGTGTGGTTTAGATGTGTACAGATCAGAATATAGCCAAGGATTTTCCTTGTTCCTAGAAAGTTGTCAAATTCTGCTGTGCAACCAGCACGTTATCTAGGATTGCAAAAGGCAGACTGAAAAACTTTCAGGAGGTGAGTAGAAGTAACCGAGTTTCAAGTTGTTACAAACTCCAGAGTAATTAAAGACCTATAAACCAAAAAAACCAAACCCATTGTTGTCAAGTTGCTTCTGGCTTCTGACTCATAGCGACCCTATAGGTCAGAGCAGAATTGCCCCATGGCATTTCCAAGGAGCACCTGGTGGTTTGAAGTGCCAGCCTTTTGGTTAGCAGACATAGCTCTTAACCCCTGTGCCACCAGGGTTTCCTAAAGACCTATAGATTAGCATTAATATCTAATGTTCTTTTTAACATTGAGACCTGGACTTGCTAAAATTGTACCACTCTACTTTTTAAGCAGTTTGATGAAGTCACTTGAAACAGATGTCTGTGGACACAGTTGCTTCATCAGTATGCAGGTGGTTCTGGGGCAGTAGATGGCAGTGGTTGCCTGGGCTGAAAGTGTACCAGACAAGTGAAGTTCTTACTGTGCCATGCTCATTCGTGTTTCCTGCTTTTGCATGTGATTAAAACAACTTCTCTTCCTGTTCACTTGTATTAGTTTCCTACTGCTGCTGTAACAAATTACTACAAAGTTAGTGATTGAAAACAAAACACATTTATTATCTTACAGTTCTGGATGCTAGAAGTCCAAAACGAGTCTCACTGGGCTAAAATCAGTGTGTTGGCAGGGCTACATTCCTTTCTGGAGGCTTTAGGAGACAATCTGTTTGCTTACTTAATCCAGCTTCTAGAGGCTGCCCATAGTCCTAGACTTGTGGCCCCTTTTCTCCATCTTCGATGCCAGCAGCATAGCATCTTCAGATTTCTTTCTGACTCTGTTCCAATGTCACATCTCCTCTGATTCTCCTGCGTCCTTCCCTATTTCACTTATAAAGACCCTGGTGATTACATTGGGCCCTTAGGGATAATCCAGGATAATCTCACCATCACAAGATCCTTAACTTAATCACTTCTGCCAAGTTCCTTTTACCACATAAGGTAACATAGTCACAGGTTCCAGGGCCATGATTTTGCCCATGATCTTCTCCTCTAATACCCTTCCCTGTCTGGTACCATTCCACTCATCCTTCTCAGTCTAGCCTAGTTAGTTGTTTCATTGTTTATAGGTTTCTTCCTCTCCTGTTTCCTCCCTCCTCTCTTCCTTTTTTTCTCCATCCCTCCCCTTGTGCCTTTCCCTTTCCTTCCCCTTCTTCTCTCCCTCCCCCCCTTCCCCTCCATTTCCTCCTCTCCCTTTTCCCTCTCCTCTCCCTCATGGAAGTTATTTATGATTGTGTCTTATTCATCTTTGTACCCTCATACCTAGCACTGTCCCTGGCACAAATGCTTGCTGAATAAATGGCATGGCAGATTGAAGTAGCTGCAACTGGGATCTGGGCAGGGGGGACAAACACCTGAAGGCTGGCCAGCATCAGCCAGGCAGAGTGCTGGGACAGCCCTGATGCCAGGATGCGAGGCAGCAGCGAGGTGGAGGACAGCATACGCTTTGCATTCTGGTCCTTCTGGGTTGAGAGCCCAGTCTGGCTGCTGACTGGCTCTGTGACCTTTGGGAAGTTGCATCACCTCCTTGAGCCTTGGTTTCCTTATCTGTGAAAGGTAGCATAATAAATACCACATTGTCTTTGAGACGTAAATTATATACTATTTATAGAATACTTGGAACGGAGTATGTCTCTATACTTAGTAGCATATCATTAAGCAAAAGTGAAACTCTGTGTTACACTCTGAAATGAGAAGAAGTGATGTCAGGCCACTTTCCAGGGAAAGAAGCAGAAGCTAGCCTCACAACTGTAAAAAAAAAAAAACAAAAAAACTATTGTTCTTAAATCTTTCCTTTTTTCCTTAGCAACTCTACATAAAAATCATATTCTTCTCTGAGATTTTGTTTTAGTGCAGAAACAATACTTAGGACTTGTGGATTCCAGTCATCTCTCTAGAACATTATTGTTGTTGATGTCAAGTTTTTTCCAACTTATAGTGACTACGCACAACAGAACGAAACACTGCCCGGTCCTGCGCCATCCTCACAATCATTGGCTGTGTTCGAGCCCATTGTTGCAGCCGCTGTGTCAGTTCATCTCGTTGAGAGTCTTCCTGTTTTTCACTGACCTCTGCTTTACCAAGCATGATGTCTTTCACCAGATACTGGTCCTTCCTGATAACATGTCCAGAGCATGTGAGACGAAGTCTCACCATCATTGCTTCTAAGGAGCATTCTGACTATATTTCTTTCAAGACAGATTTGTTCATTCTTCTGGCAGTCTGTGGTATATTCAATATTCTTGCCGACACCAAAATTCAGAGGCTTCGATTCTTCTTTGATCTTCCTTATTCTCTAGGACTTTGGGCACTCTGAATTGAGCACGTTGTTTACTCTTTAGAGGCCCAGATACTGCAGAGACCCAAATAACTTAGTCATTTAGTAAAAACCATGTGCAGATATGGTAGGTATTTGTCCTGGGACTGTAACAGTTAGGAGCTCTGGGAACTTCACTGGGATTGCCATGTCCAACCTGACATGGTTTAGTCTCCTCTGGTGGTGGGGCTAGATGTAGTCTCACACATACTTGTGGGCTGTTTATTTTCAGGATGTAAATAAATGTAACCTGGAATGGTAATTCTGCATTGTTTCCATCAATTAATGTTTAACTTATAGAAACAATTGATTTTTCAGTTCTGGAAGTGAGTAAACAGACCTGAGAGCCCCTGTAAGAAGCAATTCCTTGAAAGACAAACAGCTGTATATATGGGAACAGATTTGAGGTTGTTAGCATTTAAGGAATTGTAGAAGCAGTTGATTGTGAAATTCCTAGATTTGAGTATCCTTTTTCTTTGAATAATGAACTCTTTGACCTTCTCCTTTTTTATTTGTTTTCGTTTCTATTACTGTTTCTCATGGTGGTACTATCAACATGAAGCCAGTACTTCTTTGGTATGCTGAAATTCCTTAACATACCCCTTAATTAGATCAGTAGACCACCCACGTAGTTACATCCAAAGGCCAGATCAAATTCAGAAGCTACTAACTGACGAATATTTTCGAGCATGAGAGTAACAATTTAGTAACTTTATGAGAAGAAATGGTACGTCTGATCTAAATAATGAATAGCATTTGCGTAAAATATATTCTGAGAATAAAGATATTAAAATTTACAGAATAGTATTAAAATACTATGATGGAGAGAGGGGAGCTAGAGATTATGTATCAAGTAGCTGCAGAAGAATTCAGTTTTATCATTTTCTGCTATGTATACACAGATACACTCTTAACAAGCATTCTTCAAGTTGGAATCTAGAGGAGACTTCTATTTGATAAATGCATCGACAAGAATGGTTTCTAATCAGTATGTAATCATCTAGAAGTAGAGGTAGTTTTATGGGTCCTTTAAGGTACTCGAAAGCAGTTTGATTTTAAATAATTTATATGCAGACTTATACTAGTAACGTATACAACAGGCCCGTTTATATCACCAGTTCAGAAACAAAATCAGGTTGGACCTTGTCCAATAGTTTTGTAAGTAGAAATCCTCAGTTTTATCACCATTACAAAGGAGATTAACTTCTGGTTATGACAGATTTCTCAAACATCAGAAAGTCTGTTTTATGGCTTTTAAACTTTTTGGTTTTTGGTGGCAGCAGCCATGATATTCATGGTGATGATCTGATTGGCCGTGCCTCGGTTCAGTTCAGTGGTCACCAGTCGTGAGGAGTTTCACCACAAAGAGAGAAACTTGGAGTGTGAAGATCATGCAGGAGTGCTGTTGCTCAGAAATAGGCTGAAGCCCAGACGGGGTCCTGAGGGTTCTGAATTTCTCATTAAGGTATCATCTCCCAGGACGCTTGGCGTAAATGCATCGAGGGCTGAGGATTCACCTTTACCAGGAGTGCTCTTGAAAGGCACCATGTAATTTCCTGGAATCAGCCATGAAATTGAAGTGTGTTCCAAGTTCTAACAGAGACAAAGCACGCTTTCTCTTGTGAATTCAGTCTGAAGAAAGGAAACCTGAGACTTGACAGACAGTCTGTGAGAGGGAGGGCGAATAGGGCACAAGATGGAGTGTTGGCCCTAGAACTGCAGTGATAATCTAGGTGGCCAACTGGTTAGCTCTAGGAAAGAATTCGCAGAAACTGCTGTCCATTGAAAATGATGCTGAGTTCTCAAAGTGCATTTCTGAGGGACTAGCATATCAGAAGAATGCATTCATACAGATGTCTGTTTTAGATAACAATTTGCTTCAAGTTTTGCTTGGGGAATCCAGCAAAAAGGTGAAAGATGTTTTAATTGATACTTTTAAGTACTTTACATTTTTGCTCAGTTAAATAATTTAGCTGAGTCCAAAGGGGGAAAAAAATTCCTAATAGCTGAAGAAAAAGGTAGAGCTTAAAGGGAATGTGAACTTATGGCTACTTGTTTAGTATCTGAAGTGCTAGAATTTGAGCTATTTTGAGACATGATGTTATTTTACACTGTCATTTTTAGAATCAGTGTTACTACATACTGTGTCCTTGGAACTGTGCAAAGCAGTCCACGTATCACCTTAGTTAAATGTCTCCCAGTACCTAATCAGCCTCCTTTTTAATTATAAACTAAATTCCTCATAGCAAAATATTTCCTATTAATTTAAAAACCCGATGTAATACCCAGTGACTCAAGAATATGTGTGATGGAATCCAGCAGATACATTGGTGTACATGGTGGAAATGCTGCCTTAAAATCTAGTCAGGGAAACAACACATAAATAACCAAGTAATGCATAATAAAACCCATTGGCCGTTGAGTCGATTCTGACTCGTAGCGACCCTATAGGACAGAGTAGAACTGTCCCATAGGGTTTCCAAGGAGCGACAGGTGAATTCGAATTGCCGATCTTTTGGTTAGCAGCCAAACCCTTAACCACTGTGCCACCAGGGCTCCATGCAATACCTCATAGCATAATGAAATAAGTGCAGATTATAACCCGTTGCCGTACTGGTAAAATGTTGCCCGAGCCCAAAGAAAGTAATGTGATTCTGAACCAGGGAGTCAGGAAGGACAGCACAGAAACCTTTCCTGAACTGAGTCCTTCTGTGCTCAATATATCCATGTTGGGGTTTCTCAGATGTCTCTCTCCTAACCATACCTTAATCATCATGTTTCCACAGCCCCTTACCTTACAGGGTGAAGTATGATGATTAAATGAATGAACAGAGGCACATCTGAACAGGGTCTAAAAAGAGGAAATGTCAAAGCTAAGTCACAGGAGTGTGAGGGGGTGGTTAAAGCAGCATCACATCGGTGTGTGGCAGGCGGACAGGAGCTGCTAATCTGGGACCACAACAAGAAGGGTGGGGTCTGATTCTGAAATGGTATCTCCTCAGATTTTTAAAGAAGGGTGTAATGCTGTTCTACCACCCACTCTGTTGCCTGATTCAGAAACTCAGACTATCTCTTTGATTTTTATTTTTCATTCAATAAGCATTTGCTAGGCAACCACTACTCATAGTTGAATATGACTTGGGCTCTGTCCTCAGTGAGTCCCATAGTCCTTTGGGAGAGGTAGGCAGATGCTGTAACATGATTAGCAATGATCGAGATACCAACAAGGTTCTGTGGAACACAGAGGATGTGATGGGTGCAGTGCTTCAATGGAGACTAGTTGATAACAGTTCAGGGAAGGCCGCTTGGAGGTTGTGAGGTAGTGAGGCCTGGCTGGGGTCTTGAAGGATGAGTAGGAGTCAGACTAGGTAATTGGCTAAAGATATCTCGATGCTATATATATAAGGAACAGAAATGATGTGGAGGGATATCTGCTCAAAAATGAGATAAATAACAGAGCAAAAGGGGAGACTTGACGTTGCTTTTCCATATTTACTCTTTGTGCTTTTATATTATTTTGTATTTGATAATTTTTATGTAATCAGATTAGGGACAAAGTGGAAGGAGAAATAGAAAAGGTGGCTGAATAGTTTACATATCTCCATCCACATCCTAGTCTGCCATATAAAGTCTTCATGAATGTTTAGCTTTTGCATCTGTATTAACTCTTGTTTGTTTTACTGTTATACAGACCAATATCCAGGTAGCAACAAAATTACCTTTAGAATATTAGAATATTACAGTTCTGGGTTTTTTTTGGTTTATTTTAAAGAATTAGACTCTATTTTAGGTTGGATTTCTCCAGAAACAGACTATGAGACAAAGATTTGAGTGCAAATAGTTTATTTAGGAGATGACCCAGAAAGGACCAGTAAGAGTGTGGGAAGTGAGACAGGAAGGTAAGGAAACCAGTACAGGGTCTAATAATGAGCAGGTTACTGCTGTGGTCAACTAGGGCCTCATCCTGCTGAGGACTCTGGGAGATAGTGGGAGGTGGTGTAGAACACGTGTCAGAATAGGAGTAAGTAAGAGTGAGAATGTTGGGGTATTTATCATCGACTCCTGTCCATCACTGGTTAAGGGCTGCATTCCTATCTTCCCCTATGCACAGGTCAGGGGAACGCTTACCTTATTATTAACTTGTGATTCCATCTAATTTCTTAGTTGCTTTAGAGGTAATATATGATAAAGGTTCATATAAGGTACTCCATGACTTTAAAACTGGACTTTTCAGACTTTTTTTTAAAGACCCAGAGCCCTTTGTTCACATGTAGTGCTAAGCAGAGGCTAAGCCAAAAAGATAAAAGTAGAGCTTGGGGAGATGGAACATCGCCACGTCCCATACACTTTTCTGCTGCATACCAGCCTGGTCTTGATTCCAGTTCCCCACCCATTGGGCTCTGCTGGGAACCTGCAGGGCTTCAAGGAGCATGGTTTAAAAGACATTTCAATGCCACGCAATGCTTGGAGACCACCCAGAAGCACCTGTGGATGTGACTCCTTCCTCATAATGTGATGGCTATCATGTAGATCACTGAATCTTAACATTAAACTTTTTACCTTGAAAAAAATCCTAAAAATGACTGCCTCTTTCACTGTCTGGAGGACCGAGTATGAATTGCACTGGACCTGGATGAAAGTTTGCAATATGAGGGTAGACGTTGCAGGAGTTACACTGGGCATCTGGGCTTTGACAAGAGGGCACCATACAGAATGTCTTTTGTTGCAATTAAAATTGTTTATCTTGGATTAACTCTGAGCCAGTTTTATGCCACTACTAATAATTACGAACATGTTATTGGAGGAAGCAGTATCTGATGAGGTGAAATAGACTTGAACACTCTTGCCCCATCTTTTCCTTCCCCAGGTGTCTAATATTCAGGCAAGAGCAGTTGTGCTGTCCTGGGCTCCCCCAGTTGGGCTTTCGTGTGGACCCCACAGTGGTCTTTCCTTCCCCTACAGTTATGAGGTGGGCTTATCAGACAAAGGACGAGATGGAAAATACAAGATAATTTACAGGTAACCTATCTTTCCATGTGTGTTTCCTTGCTGTGAAATTGGAGGCATTAAGGAAAATAGAAAACAAAGGAACATGTTAACGGCTTCACAAATTTTCCTTTAAATAGTTCATTTTAAGAATTAGCAATAATTATGATGTCAAGGATTAATTTCAACAAAATTATTAAGTAGAAATTAGTATTGCACTTGGGGTCGACAAGAGTCAGAATTGACTCAACCGCGACTTACAGTAACGACATTGTAGAGCTATTTGGTTTTGGTGAAATATATCACTTGGTTTTGTTAACTTGTCAGTACAGTATTAATACAAATTTTCTATTAATGTCTACCAGGGTAAAATGTGACTCTGACTATAATCTGGTTAATGTCTTTTTGGTTTACCTTCTTATCCTCTCAGAAGATTTCCAGCATGTAATAAAGATTACTTCAAAACATTTCATGCCGAGGCTTTCTTAAATCATCAAAAAGTTCAGCACACAGAATATGGGATTAGCCTGCAAACAGCCCTTCCTGCTTTATGGACTCCCAGATATTAACTACTCAGATGATTTATGGTCGTATTCTGAATGTCATAAAAAAAATTTTCAGAGTCAAGTCTTTCCTCCTTTGTAATTGCTGGGCACTGCTCAGATTTGCAGAGCAGGAAATCAGAAAGTTTTGTTTTAGCTCCTTGTTTGACCTATCTGTGAGAGGCCCCTGGAAAGGACTGTCCCAGCCCAGGATAATGTGGCCACATAAACCCCACTACCCTCCCTGCTACTTGCTTCCTCTCTTGTTTCCCTGCTGCATCAGCGTGCAGGCCTTGTGCCCGTATCTCTGTTCCTATTTCTTACCTTGCTCAAGGAATGTGTCTTCTTCTTGACAAAGACAAAAGGCAAGAGAGATGAGGAAGGAAGCCCATTAGCTGCTCTCTCCTCCTTTCGCTGCTTGTACTGTTTCCTCATCTCTTCCCTGGTGAAAATCTGAAATGTTATGTAAAATTTTCGGTTATTAAAGTTCAGCAAACTAAAAATATTTTAGAAATACAGTACAGGTCAAACAACAGAGCTGCAGACAAAGTATGGGCACAGACTTCCAGTTTGTAACTTTTTTATTAAAACTTTTTATTTGGAAATAATTTTAAACTTATAAAAAGTTACAAAAATAAAGAGATCAAGGAATACCTGTATACCCTTTACCCAGGTTCACTTATTAATAACATTTTGCGCTATTTGCTTTATCATTTGACTGCTTCCTTCTGTCCCTTTTTCTCCTCTCTCATTTTTTCTGTAAGTTACAGGTATCATGGCCCTTTACCATGAAATACTTCAGTGTATATTTCCTAAGAATTAAGGATATTCACTTAAAGAAACCACAGTGCAGTTATCAGCTTCATAAGTTTACATAGATACTTTTATCTAATCCACCATTCATATTCTAGTTTTGTCAATTTAATCTAATAATGTCTGTTGTATGTTCGTCCCCTTCCAGGACAGGATTAGTCTAGGGCCAGATATTGCATTTAGTTGTCATGTCTCTTTAGCCTTCTTTAATTTAAAGCATTTCTAGTCTTCCTATGCCTTTGAGGACACTGACATTTTTGAAGAATACCGTTCCCTACCCCGGCCACCTTTTTAAAGATGTTAATAGAATATTCTTTATTTTGCTTTGTTTTTTCCTCATGATTAGGTAGAGGTTCAGATGCAACTTATGATCATTTAAGTGATTTTATTTTACATAAGAGAGCTATCTGTTAAATGCACTGGTATGCAAGGGAAGCAGATTTTGCCAAGAGAGTCCAGAAGTTGAGATAGTTGGGGTTCATGCCAAGGTAAGTCTGAGAGCTGCCCTTGAGTGACAGCTCGCGCAGTCATTTCCTTTTACTTGCAGTTTTCAGAAGTGATAAGGCTGCACCCCCGTAGGGAGAACGCATTAAATTGCTTATGTTTTTAAATTTTATTAGTAAGTTAACCTTGTCATTTTCTAATATAGGGTGACATCATTAAAAGGAATGTGATTTTCGAGTCCAAAAATGCAATAAGACCAAATAAAGTTTATTTCTTCTGGCTTACGGTAGAATCAAGACATAATAGTTCTTCTTGAATCCTTGCTGGTATATGGTTATCAGAATCAAATCTAAAAACTATTACTTTTGAAATATCATTAGCTAATGATTGACTTTTCTTTGCAGTGGAGAAGAATTAGAATGTAACCTGAAAGATCTTAGACCAGCAACTGATTATCATGTGAGGTGAGTTCAGGATGTAAGAACTGAACGGTATTAGAGAATCCAGATCCCTGAAGTAAATCATGTGACCCCTGTTAGAAGTTTCTGGTTAATGGCACTTGCCTAGCTGACAGGTAGGGCACTATGGCTCATTGGCCACTCGTTGGTGTTCTGCACTCTGGATCATCATGACTGGAGTGCATAAAGGAGCTTCTGGTAATAGAAAAGTAGGTGATACACTGAGCAGAATTGTAAAAATAATTTTAAGAAGCAATTTTTATTTTATGTGGTCTTCTAAGAGTTGGACTGTGTGGTTTAATATGTATTTTTTTTTTCCTATAGAAATTTTTTTTACTAAGGGTATTTCAGTTTTTTCTTATTGATCATATGTATAAACCATCAGGTCAGCCCAGATGACTAAATAAACCCTTCCAGTGTTGCAAGAACACCTTTGGACCTTAAAGTCAGTAGGTGTTGAAATAAGACAGGTAATGCAAACATCACATTATCTCTGACATGAATTAACCCAGTTTGGGAAGTCCCACGTGGTATGATACGTAGTCCGGAATCTTTACTGAGATTCCTCTGGAAGGCAGGGCTAGTTTATCTTAAGAAGAAACCCATGCAACCACAGATCTGTGAGGAGAAAACTATTACCTAAATTTTTACAGAGCCTGATTGATACACGCATCCATCTATTTGCATATAGGCAGGTTTCTGGATGTGGTCCGTAGCATTATTTTTTTTAGTTTAATTTTTGTTTTATTTAATATCTAAGTTTACCAGAAAGTGTATTTTATTGTAAACAGGGTACACAGTAACAAATTCTCCTTTCTTTAATTATATACATGTACATAACCAACCAAACCCATTGTCATCGAGTCGATTCCAACTTATAGCGACCCTATAGGACAGAGTAGAACTGCCCCATAGGGTTTCTGAGGAGTGGCTGGTGGATTTGAACTACCGACCTTTTGGTGAGCAGCCTGAGCTCTTAACCACTCCATGTACGCGTGAGACTGTGTGATAAAATTGCAAGCACCAAGTACATGTCCTTTGTTACACTTTTCAAAGGTTAATTCTCACCACATGTTCCGCTGTGATAGGCTGGAGGCAGGATGGCCTAGTAGGAAGAGCAAATTATCAGGAGGTTTGAGTTCTAGTCCTGGTTCTGCCATTGGCTGGCTGTTTTCACTTTGGTCAAGTCAGGTAGAAAGGTAGGAAAACTGGGGTGTGTTGAGGTTACATTATTAGAAGCACAGTGCTTAAAACTAAGTTTAAAACAATATACATAAGAGCAAGGTGTTGTATTATATTCAGTCATAAAGTACACATCTGCTTAGCAGGTGTATTATTTAGATGAACTCTTTTGCAACCATCTCTTCCTGTTTAAGTCAAAACTTTTGAATTTTGAGTCCATTACCTTCAACCCCAAACAAAAACCCCGGTACAAACAAAAAGATTTGTATAATTTGTGAAGCTGAAATGATAATAGAAATGGCTTAACTATTCTTCGTAATGGTCGATTTAACAGCAAATCAGAAAAAGTAACACTATATAGGGAGCCGTGTAAATGTTATCCATTTATTCATTGTTAACATGCGTTTCATTTTTTTTCTCCATAATATTTTGAACAGTTTATGGTTATTGCTTTACTAAAGGTTTACTTTATCAATTTTCTGCCCATTCATGTGCTTACAATATCTTTTTTAAGAAATTTAAATGTCATAAAGAGCCTGCCCTTTCTTTACCATTCTGTCTGTTGTTTCCCTTCGTTTTTCCCCCCCTTCCAAAGGGTAAATTTTGAGAAAACTTGCTGATCAACTCTTTTTACTCCTGTGTCTTATCAACACCTTGAACTTCTGGGAAGATAAAAGGAATAATTCATGGATTCCACGAAAGTAATATGAGACTTTGGCTCCAGCATTTCTCCTAAGACATTTGGGACCCCATACATGTAACATCTGTGACACACATGTGACACCCATGTGATACCACACATAGCCTACATAGCCACCAATGATTAATTTGGCCTAGCTCTCTGCTTGCCAGAGAGAGAAAATCCTCCCCCGCACCCTTTGTTGATGGTCTAATTTAGTATTTTAAAAAATTTTCTCTCTCCTAATAAAAATGTCTACAGTCCAAACTTCAGTCTTTTTGCCCTGTTTAGTCCACAGTCCCATGTAGATCATCCATTCTCTTTCCATATACAAAGTTTCATTTTTTCATGTTAAAACTGTGTCCTGAGACATTTCAGGTTTTAAAGTTTTTTCTTTCTCAGTTTGCTAAGAATTTTTCTGTATCATCGTCATCTGTTCAACTATTCCTATTTTTTTTCCCCCTAATGGTGAATGGCATAGTAGTAAAGAGTTCGGCTGCTAACCGAAAGGTCGGTCGGCAGTTTGAATCCACCAGGCGCTCCTTGGAATCCTATGGGGCAGTTCTACCCTGTCCTATAGGGTCGCTATGAGTCGGAATCGACTCGGCAGCAACGGGTTTTACAATGTATACACTGATTTGCGGTATTTAGGATTTGAGTCTTTTGTTAGATTTTTATAAAAATCATAACTTTTGTATTTGTTATCCAATTCTTACACAGATGCTTGTTTGGTTTATAAATTCACTTGGTTGGATGTTTAAAAGTATTTTTATTCAGTGCTTCCATAGACAGTATTGTGCTATTTATCATATAAAGTCACTAGTACAAAGCCTCCATCCTAAAATGTTGTGTCTCTGTATGGCTGGTTGTATGCTGGGGAGTAGGGGAATGAGAAAAATCTAGTAGATAAATAAATGTATTTATATGTAAATACCTATACATAAGCTTTAATGGTTTTCTCTGCATCTTGTATACGTATTTCCTAGAAAAGTATGTTCCTTTTTCAATTGGTAGTTTTATAACTAATAATGGCATTGAAATATCCATTTTACTGTAGAATCAAACTTATGTTTTTATCAGTGATAGGATAATCAGGAATTCGAGTAAAGGAATGGATAGCAATTTTAGGACAAAATTTGTGAGAAGTGGTTTTCCAGTCATTGGCATAAATAGTTTGGAAAAGAAGTTGCCCAGACCTGATATCATGTAATAATGTTTCCCAGAAAAATTAAGTGATGAAACATTTCCAAAAATATGGTTGACCAGCATAGTGCAGGATTATGAAATAGGTGTTATTGACCAGAAATCATGGCTCCTAGTATGTTACAGATGTGTTGGAAGAAGTTGGAGGCATACTTCTAAAATCCTTGGAGCACCTGTTTCATAAGCATTTAGCCAGTTATCTAAGCTAGAACAAATGTGAAAACCCAGCACAAGATTAATTAAATTTTTAGAAAAATGTATCCTTCTTTCCTGGTATAAAAACAAAAGAAACTAAACCATTTAATGATTTCTTTAATTCAAGAAACCAATCCTACTCCACAGATCTTGCTATCACGTGATGATATTTAGGGAAAATCTATGCCATATATATAGAGAGAGAGACAGAAGCATTCTTTAAAGCATAGCATCATTTCTAGAGACTTTCTTAACTGGAAACTGTTATTGGTAGAAATAGAGCTAGTTACGATTACTATAATTTATTACTATCTATTTGATGAACAGTTTTAATTGGTGGCTGTAATGATGGGATAGCTAGATATGTTGTCATATTTTGTTGTATGTAATGCATTTATATTAGCATATACAATGACTCCTGTCTCTCTTGCTGGCAAACTTTTACTTGTCCAAAGCAATGACTTCATTCAAACAATCTATAATATTCTTCGAGATTAAGACAAAAACGTTCATGAGGAAAATAGCTCCATGTGGCCCACACAACTGTTCATCTTCAACTATCTCAGATTTTCACTTTGCTATCAGGATTTTTTGACTTCTATCCCCACTGTCTTCCTCCCAGCCTGGCCTCCAGGAGCCCCTGTGACTCATATTTCTCTAGCCTAGGAGGTATGGGTTTCTAACTCCAAGAATCCCATTAAAAAAAAAAAAAAGAACTTGATTGAGTCCAAATGTACCTCTCCCCCGATAACTAACTACAGTCTGCTAGTATTTTGCAGGCACGTTACCTGCTTCCTTTCCTCTGTTGTCTTATCCAGATAGATTTTTGGTACCAACTATTTTGTGAACATCCAGGGACCTGATCTACCTGAATTAGTTCCCAATTTGTAGGCTGATGCCGGCGATCGCAAACTAAGACACCAACTGTGCTGGGGCAGGGAGCATAACTGAATGCATAAAGTGGGGTGAGTGGATGACAGCTGATGAACAATCTCAGTGCAGAGGAGACTTAGGGAGTGGTGGGGACTCTGGTGAGCTGGGCGGCACCTGCCCTATCTAAAGGGGGAGCTGTTCTCAGCGTTATGCAATCATCACACTGCAGGAATGTGGGCTCAGTGTTCTTGCAATGTCACTATGTTCACAAGTTCGTAGTGAAGGATGCTTTGGAGGAGAGCACAGAACCCCCCCCCACCCCCCCCAAAAAAAAAAAAACCAACCAAACCCACTGCTGAAAAGTCAGTTCTGACTGATAGCAACTCTATGGGACCGAGTAGAACTGCCCCTTAGGGTTTTTCCAAGACCGTAAATCTTTATGGAAGCAGACTGCCCATCTTTCTCCTGCGGAGTGGCTGGTAGGTTTGAACGGCCAACCTTTCCATTAGCAGCTGAGCACTTAACCACTGTGCCACCAGGGCTCTTTAGAGCACAAACCAGATACTTGTAATGGTGTGGTCAACAGGCATTTATTACTTACAGAATAAACAGGACAGGATGAGTAGAACAGTACACCTCATCATCAGCTTGGATCCCCGAAGTTAGGCTCTTATCCACAAAGTTAGATCGCATCCAAGCACGCCCCAGTTCATGTCATAGGAAGGGAATGTCTAAGTTCCTGTCTCTTGGGATTAAATACTAAACAGACAGCCATGGCTACATACCAGATAGCATGTATGGAGAACACGTAGAGGAAGGGGTAATGAAAGGGGGTTAGTAAAAGTGGAAGTCAGTGGACATCATATATTACCCCTGTTCAGGTTATTCTAGGTTTACACAGTTCTGGGCTTCTTCAGAGGGCAATCATCTCCCCCTAGGGCACATACTTTACTTTATGTCTGTTAGCAGCTAGGGAGATAGTGATGGGGCAGTTATAATATAGCACACCTGTGCCATCCAGCAGTTCTAGAACTTCAGTTTTCAGAAGAGACTCCAGTTTTTTGTTTTTTTTGGTGTCGACTTTGTTTTTATTTTAACTTTTTTCATTTCAGAAAATTTCAGTTATAGTCAAAAGTAGACTGATTAGTTTAATGGACTCTTAAGTACCGGTCAACCACCTTCCTCAATAGCCTCACCTACCATCCTCCCCCAATTATTTTGAAGTCAAGTCCAGACATCATCTTATTTCACCTGCAAATATTTCAGAAAGTCTCTCTAAAAGACAAGGACGACTCCCCCTTATCTTTTGATGATAGCCACAATACCATCATCACACACTTCATCCAAAAAAACAATTCTTAGTATCTTTAAAATCCATAGACAGTGCCCATTTCCTCATTGTCCTAAAAATGGATGTTTTGTTTTTCAATTAGTTTGTTGTAATTGGAGTTCAAACATGGTCTCAATATTCTAATTGGTTGCTATCTCTTAATTTTGTTTCAGTTTATAGGTTTCCCCTCTATCTCTTTTCCCCCCTTGCAGCTTACTTGTTGGAATACTTTTTTTTTTTTTTGACCCTATAGAGTTTCCTGTAGTCTGAATTCGGCTGATTGCATCCGTGCGGTGTTGGCGTTGCTTAATACGTTTCCCTGTCCTCTGTTTCCTGCAAAGTGGTTGTCTTAGTCATCTAGTGCTGCTACAACAGAAATACCACAAGTGGATGGTTTTAACGAAGAGAAGTTTATTTTCTCACAGTCAAAGTAGGGTAAAAGTCCAAATTCAGGGCATCAGCTCCAGGGGAAGGCTTTTTCTCTCTGTCAGCCCTCTCATCAATGCTCCCCCGGACTAGGAGCTTCTCAGCGCAGGGACCCCTGTCCAAAGGACGCGCTCTGCTCCTGGCACTGTTTTCTTGATGATATGAGGTCCCCCTGTCTCACTGCTCACTTCTGTCTTTTATATCTCAAGAGATTGCCTCAAGACACAACCCAGTCTCGTAGATTCAGTCCTGCCTTACTAACACAACTGCCACCCATCCTCCCTCATTAACATCATAGAGGCAGGATTTACAACATATAGGAAAATCACACAATACCAGGAATCATGGCCCAGCCAAACTGATATATACATTTTTGGGGGGACATAATTCAAACCACGACAGTGGTGAAGAGGCTTAATCAGATACAGGTTCAATTTATCTGCAAGACTATTTGCTAGGTGGTGGCATGGTCTTTCATTGGAGTACATAATGTTTGCATGTACTTACTTGTGATCATCATTGCCTATATCTTTTAATTCATTAGGGAACACCAGTATTTGAAAAAAAAATTTATATTTGCTACACATACACTCACACACACACATATATCCTTGGGCTAAATTCAACCCATGAGCCACCAGTTGGCAAATTCTGATTTGTCAAAGTTCAGGCTGGAGCCCTGCCCATGTCTGCAATGTTCTTTGATGATTCATATCAAGGAACTTCCTCCCAGTGAGCCCTACTTGACACATGGAAATGATGTTGCCAGATCTACCATTGGAGTTGATGTTATCATGTGCCTGCTTATGTTGTTGTTTTCAGATGCTTTGACTCATGCCAACCTTATGTATAACAGAACGAGACATTGCCTGGCCCTGCGCCATCTTCATGATCTTTGGTATTGTTGTGGCTATTGTGTCTCTCCATCTCACTGAGGATGTCCCTTGTTTTTGCTGACCCTCTGCTTTAACAAACATGATGTCCCGCTTACAGTGAGTCCAAAAGGAAGGATTTCCTTCAACAGAGCCTGGGGTGGATACCATTGTAACCATAAGCATCACTCATTCGGATTAGATGTCGTAACGTCCTTCCGTAAGGCTAATGAATCACATACAATAAATATGTATTTTACTTTTTAGAATGGAGAGTTGACATTTCTGTTAGCCTCTGTCAATTTTTTGTGATGGGCAGTTCATCTTTCTTGAGGAGAAACAACTTGGAAATTGGACACAGAAGAAGAACATATTTTCTATAATGTTACCTTTAGCTGTTTTGTTTTTATTTGAGTGGAGTGAGAGGAATTGCATTGTGGGCGTTTAGAGAAACATAATTGCAGGATGAGCAAGGGGAGTAGGCAACAGGGTACAGTGGTCACAGTTTCTGAGCTGAATACAGTTCATCTGAATTTCTAACTGTGTGGCTTTGGGCAATTTACTTTACCTCTCTGATTCTCAATTTCCTTCTGTCCGAAATGGGGTAATAAGAGTTTCTTGCCTCATAGAGAGAGTTGTTGTAACAGTTAAGGGCTTGATATGTATTTTACCAGCTCTGTGAATAGCTTAATCCTTGGACCTCTTTTAAGCAGCAAAGATTCCTTCGTTGTATTTTTGAGAGTATGTTTTCAGATTTTTTTTGTTAAGAACCAATTTAAAAAAATGGAAAAGTAGAAAGGAAAATGATAAAAATCAACATAATCCTATTTTATTGTTTTTGAAAAGAGTGTAGTATTATGATAGTGAATTACATGCTTTTTCCTCATAGCTTCTCTGGAGAAATGAGGCATATATATTTAACATTGATCCAAGCATTTTAATGTGCAGAATGAGCATCTTTAATCTTGGCGCCCTGTGCAAGAGTTAAACATTCACGTGGCTAAACTGTACTTGAACGTTGTTTTTGTTGAATTAGTGAAAGATGCACTTGGCAATAGCAGACATGTTTCTGTGTATGAATCATCCGTATTTTTATGTAAATTTGTGCACTGTTACAAGCAGTTCAACGATGATATCTACCCTGTTGTTTGTATTTGTGTAGTCTCTCTACAGACTGTGGACTGTCATCACTGCTTCTTGTCCCTTTTCATCCAACTCTTAACTCTACTCCTAGCCTTTTTCCAGAGTCAACCCGAGAGTGGCTTGTCTCCCATTTTATCCCCCTTTTACAGATTTACAGTTTAAGGCTTTGAGAGGTCAAGTAATTTAATTTGCCCAAGGTGCTCTTGTTGGTTTCTAGAATGTATATTTGAAGAACATTCTGGGAATCAAAGTTTATTTTCTTTATTTAGAATGTTCTTTTCCAGTCAGTAGACTCTGCTCAGTCTTAAGTGGCCGGGAAGTTCTGACAATTAGCATAAGAGTGAGCACATTGAGGCACATACTCTGCTGGGATGATTGTCATGTTTTGGTTAATACACTCAGCTCCTACCAAAAGGTTGGCAGTTTGAGTTCACCCAAAAATGTGCTTCAGAAGAAAGGCCTGGAAGTGTACTACTGAAAAATTAGCCATTGAGAAACCCTATAGAGTACAGTTCTACTCTGGTACACACAGGGTTGCCATGAGCTGAAATCAACACGACAGCCCCTGTACTACTGCCCATTTTTAGATCAGGGCAAGGCCAGCAGATAAGAACAAGAGTCATGGTGTTCACTGTACAAGAAATTCTGTTCATTTACAGAAAGTCCTGAGACAAAGCTGAGATAGAAATCATGGTTTTCTGTGATTGGTCACTGGCACTGAATGTTTGTCTGTTTATTTTCAGGGTCTATGCCATGTACAATTCCGTAAAGGGATCCTACTCTGAGCCAGTTAGCTTCACCACCCACAGCTGTGCACCCGAGTGTCCTTTTCCACCTAAGCTGGCACACAGGAGCAAAAGTTCACTAACCTTGCAGTGGAAGGTGGGTAGTTCAAAGTGTCGGTAACAGTCTGAAGTTAAGATAATGTCCGTTTGTTGCCATTTGAAACATTTATGTTGCAGTGTCGCAGTTCTGTGATGTTGTTTGGTTTTCTACAAAACTATTAAAACTGGACAACTGGGTGGAAAGAGGGAACTGCAAAATCCAGCTTTCACTCTCTTTACAGGAGAATTTGGTAAATTTCCTAGGTAAGCAACACTTCATAAATGATTTAAGTACTTAAAATGCCCACATTTCCTCATTTTCTAATGGTTTAGTTCAACAAACATTTGAAGACTTCAGTAAAAAGTTTTGTAAAGAAAGATTTAGAAATCAGGTAGATTTATAGCTCTATTAAGGAGCTCAGGTGGCACAGTGGTAAAAATGCTCAGTTGCTAATGAAAAGGTCAGCAGTTTGAACCCACCAGCTGCTCTGCAGGAGAAGGATGTGGCAGTCTGCTTCTGTAAAGATTTACAGCCTTGAAAACTCTTTGGGGCACTTCTGTTTTCCCCTATAGCGTTGCTATGAATCAGAATTAACTGGACGGCAGTGGGTTTTGGTTTGGGTATGGCTCTGTTGGCTTCTTTCAGTGGTGACCTGAAATATTTAATATTTAAAACTCTGCTTAGAATGTTTAGTATTCTAATCTACATTAAGACTTCATTGATTTTCACTAATTAGGCCTTAAATTAGGGTTACTGATTATTTGGGGGAAAAAAAGGCTGAATTATATAATAGTTTTCATGAAATGCAATTTACCAGCTACAACTGTTTCCAAAGAGACATCTGATTGAGCGTTCCTTTAGATGTGTTATTAGCATGTATTTGCAAGAGAATGGTAGATTATGTTGTCAGTCTCTGTAGTAATCATTTCTGTACATTGATATTTTAAAATATAGTTTAAAATGTTAAATATGTTCCTTTTCTGTCATACCTTCACAATGGTGTACGTATGAAGGTAGAGAATAATAAAGATTTGTGTGTGAAAGACAAGATGGCTAGGGAGATCCATTACTGGTGAAAAAATACTTTGTCTTTTTATTTGTAAACAGGAGGGTCAATTTATTTAGGGGATTGATAAAAGCAGTTGCGAACAGTGGTTAGCAGTAGAGCATGGGCTATGTTCTCACATGGGCAGCTGCGTTCTCATAGTCAATGGCCAACCTGAGTGTGTTGTTTGGACGAAGGCAAAGTTGCGACTGGCTTAGAAACTGAACTATTTTATTTTCCTTCCTGGCTTCCAGGGATAATACAGGTCAGTGATTCCCCACCTTTTCAGAGTAACACCCAACTGGTCATCGTTGTTTAATTCTTTGGAGCATATATATCCATTTAAAAACTGTCCTATATATACACATGTAAATATATCTTTCTTTAAGGAAATAATTAAAATCCATTTTGTTTGGAAAATACAAGTAATCTTCTTAAGAATATTGAAGGGACCCCGGGGTCTTATAAACCTAAAGTTGGGAATCACTGATACATACTCTGCTTGAAACCTGGATGAATTCAGGTCTCACGTAGAATTCCTCCTAATTTTCTTGTCAGGAGGCAAATGTTTCACATTTTCTTTCTCCCTTTATTTACTTATGAATCAGAAACATACTCTTGTTCCACCTAGTATGGAAAGAACTTCTGGATTCAGTTTTAGTTTTCAATTCCGTGTCCTTAGAGCAGTTTTCCTGAGTGATGTGCTCCGGGTGGGGACAGGGAATCCTTCTCCGCCTGTGACCTGTCTTTGAGTCCATGAAGACCCTGAGAGAGCTAAACATCTTGCAGCACCCACTCGCTAGTCAGCAACAGTTGTTATTTACACAGCAAATACAGCTGTGCACCCTCCCCCCTCAAAGAATTAGGGTCTAATTGGTGTGACAGGAAAGAGCCCTGGTGGTGCAGTGGTTAAAATACTTGGCTGCTAACGAAAAGTCAGCAGTTCGAACCTACCAGCTGCTCCGCGTGAGAAAGATGTGGCGTTCTACTTCCGCAAAGATTACAGCCTTGGAAACCCTATGGGCAGTTCTTCTTTGTCCTATAGGGTCACTATAAGTCAGAATCAACTCAATGGGAATGAGTTTTTATTTGTAAAATATATCTTACAAGTATCTTAGCGGAAAGTACTAAAAAAAATTTTTAGGGGAATCTACGAGCCATCATAAATGTAGTTCTCATCTTTGAAATGGGTTCTCCGGTAACACTTTGATTCTGTCAGTTATTCAGGATTTTAAATGCATCCCTGTCCTGTCCCCAAAAGCTAGCCCACAAAATCCTATAATTATAGTTTAGGAAAACTTAGAGCACTTACCTGAGATCTGAGATTTGGGGTTCAGGGACCGTGTGAGTCAGAAAGGAAACAGGGAGAAAGGAGGGAGAAGATGGAAAAGAGCTTCTTTATTAATTCAACTAACATTTACTGAGCCCCTGATGATGTTTCATTATTAACAGTAATAGCAGCAGCTCCTTTTTCCTAAGTGATATATATATGGGAGTTTAGTAGGTGAGTTACATATATAGTCTCCCAATTACTTATCACACCCATCCATTCTTGGAGCAAGAAATTAGACACTGATATTAAGTGTCATCCATCAGACCACACATGGTGAGTAAATGGCCAAGCTGGGATTGAACGCAGCTCTGGTGAGCACTGTGCTCCCTTTGGCCAAGGCTCTGTGCTGTTTGTTGGTCTCCTGTTCTTTTCCCAGGGAAAAGCCAGGCCCAGACACAGCTGTGAAATGGGAGACACCATCCTTCTCCTATTTCTGTTGCCTCCTCCCGCCCTTAGATCTCTCTACCCTAGTGCTGCCAGGGACCCACTGTGACACCCCATTCTGGCCGACCTAGTCTCACAAAGACTCTTTTCTCCAAAATTCCCTACTCCTGTTCCCCTTGTCCAAAACCTCAGTTTCCTCAATGAAGCCGATCCCAGCATGCTAAAACTACATTTTGTTAACATAGGAAGAGCACTAGCCCCTGGTAATCTACCCATAGGATCCCATTTTTCCTCTTTTTTTTTTTTTTTTTTTAAGACTCTTAATGTTACAACTAGCTTTCAAGTTTTCAGCACTTAAAAGAAAAAACAAACAAGGACTATATGGGAGAAGGTATAAAATGCACACTCTTTACTGTGAACCTCCCTGGGTCGGTTCTACCTCACCAGGCCCCCAGCAGTGCCTGTGCTTTTTCCACTACTTTCTCTCTCTCCTCTCGAATTTAAAGTGCCTCTTAAAAGCTTTATCCCCAGAGGAAGTAGGGCACTATGTAGGTGTGAACGTGGAGGTGGTGGGGGAAGGCAGGTGTGGCTATTTCTGGGGAATGATTTATTATCTAATAGTAGGGACGCTCTCTACAGTTGAGTTGTATTGAGTGGTTTGTGATAATGTTTGAGCAAGGAAATCCAGGTTTGTCCCCTTGAGGGGAGAACACAGAACTGTCAGGATGCTGTATTTGTCAGTTCAATATTGTTTATGGACACTGTTTTCTAATCGCATTTTGTATTATTTTTTTAGGCACCAATTGACAATGGTTCAAAAATCACCAACTACCTTTTAGAATGGGATGAGGTAAGCATATCTTCCTATGCATCCATCTAAAATACCATTTCAAAAAATAAATGGTATTGTTGAACAAATTCCATTTTATTCTTTTATAAGGCAGGCTAGAAAACACAGATAAGAGGAATACATGTAGAGAAAGATGTAAAGCTAGTAGTTATTGACTGTGGAAAATGAAGATGGACTGAAGTGGTATAATGAATGGTACATTAAATATATTTATTTGGCTTATTTGCAAGAAATGCTGCTGAAAGAAAAGAAAACATTTTATGTATTTTGGGATCCCTACTGTGTAACCATTAGTTTGTATAAAAAATTGGCTACTTTGTCGTCTTATAACTTCCCAGGGCCATTTTGCTTAGATTGTTTTGCTAAGATAAACTACAGTGTGGCTTGGGAAGCATAAATTACTTTTCCTTTTGAATGTCATTTGTGTACCGTGGCGTTGGACTGTTGGGTTTTCTCCATGGGCGAGAGGAACAGTACATGTAGGTCTCACTCCACACGTTGTGCAGTCACTCTGTGGTTAGAACGTCCTGTATTTGCTGCCACCTTTGCTGTTGCCACACCAGAGACCTGGATGGTATCCATGCTGGAGTCTCCTTATTCTTGAGACCACTCAGTGCTAAGTGGTGACCCAGTGCATTTCTGCCATAACTAACACCACTCACAAAATTTCAGACAGGAAATACTTGATGCAGAAGCCTTTCATTTCTAAATAGCCACTAAATTTTTTGTTCCTATAGATCTTAATTCCATTCATTCACTTTCCCTGCTTTATTCTTTCTGTGATTGAGCAAACAGGCTAAGGCGTTAAGAATAGAAGTGTGGAATTTGGGAAGATACGCAAGTGAACGAATCTTTTAGACTTAAATTTGGGGGGAATGGAAGATTAAGAATGTAGGCTTAGGAAAAAATTACTTGTCAAGCGTGGAAAAATATTTTTACCAAATGTAAAATGAAAATTGGATGAAATTCTCATGATAAAATTTTGATGTGAAAGAGGGGCCCTTCATCACTTTCTGCAGAAGCTTATTTTCCCATCTGGGTTGTATCTGAACAGCTAGAGTTCATGTGACCAAAGACAACAATCTTCTTCTTAGGAACCCTGTGGAGAGCTTGTACCTACAGATTCCTGAAATCTCAGACTTGACCAGTGCATTTTACAGATTAGGTGAATTTCGTTTTAAGGTAGTTTGATTGGAAAGTGAAACCACACCCTTTGGCCTCTGTGGAAAGAGGTTTTCATAGGCAGTCAGGAAAGTTGAGCATATAGTAACACCTTCCCATCTCTCCTTTACCTCTAAGGATGAGTACGAGTTTAATGAAGGCTTTTTTTTAAGTGTGTTGGTTTGTCGCACCGGCCTGATTTTCCTAATATCTTAAGTTTTTATATAAAGATAAGGTTTGCCAGCAAAGAAGAGGCTTTTTTTTTAAACTGCTTTTCTGCCTGGGACCATGAGCTCATAAGTTAAGTAAGGTCAGAGAAGTTGAGAACTTGAATGGGAAACCTCCAAAGAGAACCCAGGTGCTGAAGGAAATGGTGGCAGTGACTCAGTTGCTGGCCCCCTCCCTTTTGAATTTGAAATGAAAATGCCCTGGCTTGGTGCTATAGCCTCACATGAAAAAGGGGGAAGCCATGTCTGATGGCCATTTATAGTCAAAGAACCCACTACGGACTAGTGTTTAGAAAGCATTAAGTGATTTGTTTGGGGCCTCTTCCTGCTGTTTGCCTTCCTCCTGCCTTTTCCTCTGCTCAGTCTCCTTTCTTTGCCTCCCTCCCATCTTCGTTCTTCTGCCTTCCCCTTTCCTCTTTATTTTCTCTCCCAGCTTCTAGTTCTTGCTTGTATTAGCTCTCTTGAGCTTTGCTGGAGATTCCAGGTTAATTGACTCTCACTTTCCATGGGCCTTTTGCCAACACAGGAATCCTTCTGGATTCTCTGGCTTTAATATTCACCTCCAAGAAAAACTGCTGGACCCCAAACTCTGAAGCGCTTCCTTGCCTTAAGGTACAGTGAGCTTCCTGGCAACAGAGTGTAACCAAAAGAAAACCAAGCATTAGGAGATGTGGATTCTAGTTCCAAGTTTCTCCTGGGCAACTCTGGGACCTTGACCTCTCTGGTCCTTGGTTTATCCATCTGTGAAATGGTGAATAGATTTGCTCTGATGGCTGAAAAGCTAATGTAATGCCGTCCTCTTGTTGCACTTTTGAACAGACACAAGTAAAACAAACCTAGACACATGCTTCTCAATTTTTTCCATACTGTAGCTTCTATGCTTTATATCTCCCTCCTTTCTTAAATTAAAAAAAAAAACAAAACTCAGATGCCATGGGGTTGATTTCAACTCATGGAGACCCCATGTATGTCAGAGTAGAACTGTGCTCCATAGGGTTTTCAGATGTAGATCACCAAGTCTTTTCTTCTGAGGCACCTCTGGGTGAATTCAAACCGCCAACCTTTTGGTTAGTTGCCAAGTGCTCATCTCTCCTTTCCAGTCCCCCTAAGAAGATTCCAAAATAGTATCATTGGGTTACCTGCCAGTGGGAATACAACTAATAGTAACCAATTCATTCCTACTTGTCCTATTACAGAAGTGACATTTCTGGCAAAATAGTCTGGCAGTCTGTGTTTCTAAATTTAGGGCTAAGTCAGGGATCTGGTTTCTTGGGGGCAGCTCACTTGAGTTGGTCTTTGTGTCCCTCATTTCCATCCTACCCAAGGCCTTGGCTTTGTGGAAGAAAAAAGTACAGAGGAGAACAGCAGCTGGGCCTGCAGGAAGTGTGAACACAGGAGGCTCTGACTGTCCCTCTAAAACTTTCTGCTGGTAATTCCTGGAAGCAGGTGCATCTGGTACCAGGGACTGTTTTGGACTCTGCCCTGGTGGAGTGCAGTGGGGCAGGAGGATGGGAATGGGTGTTTTGCTGGAATAATCCCCGCCCACACTTCTCCAGAGCCAGATCTCTCCTCTCCTCTCCAAGGACATCTGCTCCAGCTGTACACCCGTAGCCTCTCTGTCGTCCGGAGGCTGCAGAAGCAAATCTAAAGTACAGAAAGATTGTGGGGTACACAGAGGAGCAAATCACAGCCTGAGAAGGATCTGGGGACTGCTCAGAGTCCCGGATAAGGTTGTGTTCCACAGTAGCTCCCATGCCCTGTCTTTGCTCTGAGAATCAGAGCGTGGCACAGCAGTTGTCCCACCCACATACATGCCACAACTACTGTCTGGATGTCCTCTTGTTGCCCCACATATTAGTTAAGGTGTACAGCAGTGATTACAATTCCTGGGATACTTTATTGTTTTGTTCAGTTTTTAATCACTATTGCAATAAAATGATTAGTATAAATTTTTGAAAGCGTCAGTTAGGAGCAAGCACCGGGCATCAAGCCCAGGTTTCAAGCCTCTAGAAAAAGACCATCATGAATGAAAGTGCATCAACAGAGAGGTGAGTCAGTACCTGGCCTTTATTTCTGCTAGGATTGGGAGAGCTGTGCCTGAGAGTTTTCCTCCTTGGGGAGGTCCACCTTACCGATAGCTAACAGCATGCCAGCCTCAGAAGCACCAGGGCAGGTGGGCCTCAATGGGGAACAAAACCCAAATCACGTAACAGTGCAGAGGGAAGCCAGTACATTGTCTCTCCAAATTCATTGTTGTTGATTTCACATCCCTGCTGCATAGAATGTACTTGGAAATTATTAATAGTTCTGTGAGAGTAGCTTCTTGTTTTTCTCCATTAATAATTGTAACTAGGCAGCCTTTTAATTTTTAAGTCAGTGTATGAAGTAACTGTGACTATGAAATGGGAATGAGCAACTGCAAGTGGAACATACAAGTGTTGCTGGGCTTTTCCACGTGGCCATCAGTTTCAGCTTGCACCTGAAACAGCTCAGTTTTCATAACTTGCAAAGGTGTGGCCTTTCCTGGCCAGCCCCATGATTCACCATGTGCCCTGTTGTGGTGACTCAGATGAGTGGTAGAGTTCAGAGTAGTAGGGTTTGAGAACTGACCTTTCGTTTTTGTAGCTGTTTAGACACTGTTCCCTTCTTCAGGAGACTCCCGTGTATGAGTATGAACATGAAAGCAGAAAGCCAGGTTCAAGGCAAGTTTCTCCGTTGACTATTGGATAAGTCATCATTACCTTCTCATTTCTTTCTGATGATAATGTGCTCCTGCCTCCATGTTTACGTTCTAGTCTGCAAATGAAAATCATCCGGAAGGTTGGCAGAAAGCTGGTGTGAAGCCTCTTTTTTTTTTTTTTTTCCTTTCTACTAGGGGAAAAAAAAACACTCCTTTATGAATTTAGTTTTCGTTTAATTCACAATTATGAATATGAAAAAAGCTTTTTTTCTTCTTTTTTTTTTTTTTTTAAACAGCTAAACAATACTTGGAGCTTAGGTTTCTGAAGGTGGAGATTCTTTAGAACAATGGAAAGACATAGGGGTTGGTGAGGTGGGGATATAGTGCCTGGCGTGCACTACCTCATTTAACACCCTGGAGTTAATCCCTTTGATCTGCTCCTAGCCCTGGGGCACTTTTCTGAGCCCAAGTCTTTACATTGTCCCCTCATGTTGCTTCTCTGCTCCATGATGTACCAGAATGTAGTGGAGGCAGGAGTTGATCTCTTGAAGAGGATAGGGGAAGAATTAAGGATCATAGAGTTGCTGGGATAGGGAGAGGCTTTTAGGGGAAAAAAAAGTTAGGAACCTTTGGATTAAAGCACTCCTAAATACCTGCCCAGTCTATTTTAAGGCTCCTAAACCGATGGTGTTCTGGCCTTTTCCTTGAAAGCTTTAAAGAGAGTATTTATGAAAATATGTTGTGAGTTCTACTTTGAGGTATTGTTTTAATTTGTGCTATACGGAAATACTAGCCAGTGCTAGTGCAGCTAGTTCTCTGGGACAGATGCAGGAGTCCTAGGATCTTGCTGTGTGGTGCAGCATGGGGAGTGGATATGTATCCATGGTATGTATGAGCGACATACTGTTTATCTAAAGAGACCTGGGTTAATA